GGTGCAGGGTCACCCCTTTGATTAAGTTGGGCAGGAGACAGGCAGTCACCACCTCCCTTTTTCAAGATCTTTTATATCATCAAAGTCGTGGCAGGCAGGAAAAGAAGGGGCGTCAAATCCCCTCCAGCTCAGCCATAGGGGCACAGCCGCCATAGAGGCTGGTGAATGTCAGCAGGACATTGGGGTGTTTGCCTTTACACGGTGATGGCCTGACACTCTCTTTTACTTAGAAATTACAAGAGGACCGCTTTACAGCCTTAGTTGGTTTGTCAGAAGCCAATGAGGAATAATCTGTCTGGGTTGCCTTACACCTCTGCTCTCTCAAATCGCTTGGAGACTTATTAGACACAACAAAATCTAATGAAAAGAAATAGTGTTGTCAGACAATAATCTTAGTTAAGTTTTAAACAGTTAAAAGAAGGGGTGGAGAGGAATAGAATAGGAGGACAGTGATTGGTTGATCCAGGTTTCAAAGAGAAGAGGGTATTGAAGTGGATACTAACAACCTTTTGTGGCTAAAAGTCTCCTTAAGGTTGGGGTCATGGGGCAGGTCTCTGAGAGGCACTAGTGAGAATTCCATCTAATAAAAGCTAGTGTTAGCCACTACAGACAAAAGATGTTTAATTGATTATACAATGAAAGAGCTGAAATAGGAAGCTAGGAAAACTCAAACTGGAAATAAACTGCACATTTTTATAGGGTGGGTAATTAATCATTAGAATGAGTTGCCTAGGGATGTGGTGGGCACTTTATCACTTGAAGTCTTTAAATCAAGATTGGACGTCCTTCTGAAAGAAGTGCTCTAATTCAGCTTGAAAATACAGGCTTGGTGCAGAAATTATAGGGTGAAATTTCAGAGCCTATATTGGAACGCAGACTAGTTCTAAAATGGTTCTAAAATGGTTCCTTCTGAGGGTAAAATCTATATACCTATGAACCTTGTATTTTTTCAATATCTTGAAATTCAAAATACAAATATGTTAATTGCCAACCTGATATTGGTTCAGCATTAAAAAGGGGTGAACCACTTTACCATTATGTCTAATAAAATACAGAAGTCTGCATCACAAATGTGATTTGTCCAACTCTGTTTTTCCCAGCAAAGTTGTTATTGTAGGTCAATCATTTCCCTAAATGAAAGCACATTTCTTGTGTACACTATGATGACAGATGAGTAGAAGACTTCTTTTTATGATCTCAGGATAAAAAGGCAATTTGCCATCTATAGAATGGTAGATACACTAGTAATGGAACAGAAAAATTCTGATACAAATAACTCACTGTTAGAGTTTGAACTATCAAATGAATCTGAACTATAGCCAAATCAATTTGATAAACTATCAGAATATGATTGTATCAGCTACAGCTTGCAAAGGCAATGCATTAACTTATCCAAGGCTCAGGCCCAGGAAAACAATGCTTTATAAGAAATGATTTTCCCCATAGAAACATCAGTTATGTTGCTGATGAAAAGATGCTTCAGTAATAGGCTCTTTCAACAATGAACAGCACAGATGGGGTACACAGAAGAGTAACTATCTAGTGTTGAAAATGGGAGAAAAATTGTGAGGGGACTTATGACATGGTGCTTTACATTACATCTATACTGAGTATCATAGCAAGGTGGAAGAGCCTGGAGAGTGGAGATATGAGGATGACAGAAGAACCCAGAGTTAGTTGAGTTTTTAAAGAAATCTCTTTTTTAGGCTTCCTAGCCACAGTAGTCCTCAGTTCTGGGAAGGGCAGCTAATGCAAGGCAAAAAGAGTGCTCCCTATTACATCTCTCAAGTGCGAGCTTTCCACAGTTGCAGTTTCCCTTATATTTACTTGAGTAAGTCAGGCTCATATCTTGCCATAGTAATACATGCTGAATGTGAACCCAAGGGTAGAGAGAAAAGTTCATGGGAAAAATAATCATGTCCCTTTCTGTTCCTGGTTACATGAGATTGTAACTAGAAGCATAAGTGACCATTCGCACCTCCAGGGAGCCTCAGACAAGTGCTAATCCTGGGCCTTGGCAAATGGTGATAGAAATCTATGACAGCCTCTGTGATTAAAGTGTGAGGACAACAGCCCAGTGAAACTGCAGAGAATGTAAGTTATGATTTCATCAAATGCAGCATGTCCTCCTTGATACAATATACACTGTCCTAACTCTACTGATTTCAGTAGCTGTTTGAGAACCAGCAGTGCTTGAGGATCTGCCCACTTAGGTTTGGATTGTATCAAAGCAGCACAGAAAAATGAACAGTATCTTCTTTTGCAGAGAGTGCATTTGAGTTACTACACGACAGAGGCTATAAAACAGTGGCACTAACACTCACAAGCTCTGTATAAAAGTATAAAATCAGTCCCACATTTTACATATGGTACCTTCTTTAAAACCTTCGGACTTGACCGCTTCTGCATTTTTGAGCATTTGAAATTCAGGTTTGTATCCACATTTGAATTTTGCATACTTAGCCCACTTTGAACAGAGAAGTACTAATGAGAAAAACAGCATATAATTCTTACTTACAAAACAACTGGCCCAATGGCTCCTTGAAAAACCTCATTTGGTAGTTTCTCCAGATTTTGATTATCACTAAGATTTCTGTAAAACATAACAACAATGTTGATAAAGACACTCTGAGCTCAATAAGCCTGCAACAGTTAATACCACCTATTAATTGTTTTATGGAATGGCAACAAGAAGAAGTTACAGTTCATCCAAGTAGGTTCCATTGAATGCATGGCTCTGGACTTCCCGAATTCCGTTTTTATTTAACCATCTGCAACAGAAACAATTAAAAAAAATGATTAAGCAAGCCCATACACTCTTGCATTTGCATCCTAAATTCTGACACAACAGCAAAAAGACTGGATGTTTTCAAATAAGTAACATATATAAATAAAGGCAGGGTAGAGTGGTGCCTTAGAGACCAACTTGCACATGTTCAGGAAGGCATAAATTTTCATAGGAGACAGTCTATTTTGTCAGATACATAAATGGTTATCTTTGGGAATCCCAGAAAACTATTATAAGATGTCAACCACTAGGGAATGGGGTTTGGTGTGTGTGGACATAAGCACTGCAGTTATACTCTTATCAGACTCCAAAATCAGAGAACTTGTCTTAAAGGTGATGGGCCAGGTTCTGCTGGTGTAAAACATGGCTAACTGCAGCAAAGTGAATGGGGCCACTCCAGATTCACACCAGAGTGAGAGCATGTACTAATTATCACAAGAGAAAAATGGAACAGGAATGCCCGCAGCTGGAAGGGGGTGGTGAGTGGCAACCGCCTGCAGGTGCCAAGGTGGCGCCTTTTCGTAGGGGGTGCACCACCATGCTCAGGGGGTGCATGTGCACCCGCATGCACCACCTATGTGTCATCAATGACACCAAGTGGTAAAAGAGTTCCTTGAATACTCTCAATTGCTTCCAGACATTGTGAAAGTCCCTACTGATTCAATGCTGAAAGGTGGAAGTGAACAACTTTTGAGATGGAGAAACACCTAGGGAATGGAAAAGGGGACTTTGCATTTGAATACCAGTCTGGGGCAGGTGATGGTTTAGCTCTGGCTTTGGCATTGGGCCCCGGGCTGAAGCTGAAGCTAAGCCACCACATGTCCTTGGCTCGGGAAGGGGGCAGGAGTGAGAGGGGAAACTCAGGGGGGAACATACAGCCTGTCCCCCCACCTTTCCCTGTACCTGTGACTGCCTCCACCCACAGTCTCCCCACTCCCCAACTGCAGGAGGGAGCTGGGGTTGCTGGAAGTAGGGGCCAGGCTGGGGCTCTGCTGCTGACTGCCTCAGAGGAGCAGAGCTGCAGCAGAAGTTGAGGGCAGGGGGTGGGCAAGGAGTGGGAGGGGACAGGAACAGACATAGGGTGCAAGGGATGAGGAGGCCGACTTCAGGGGGGGAAACAGGGTGGAGGAGGCAGGGAATGGGGGGCAGGCACAGGCAGATGGGGCAAGAGGCAGGTACAGGCACAGAGGGGTAGGTGGCAGCTGGGGGAGGTAGACAAGGGGCAGGGGAGCAAGAAGCAGGAAAGCAAGGAGCAGAGGTCTGCCCCCCCCAACCCCTACCACTGCTTTCCCTGCCACAGCAGTGCGGGCAGTAGGAGGAGGCAACATTAAGACAACCTTCTACTAATTAGATTTTATGCATGGAAAATTATTATATAGCTGTATCGTTTTCCATGTATAAAAACTAATTCTTTCAGGTCATCTTAAATGTGAAGTCATCTTGGATTCAAGTAAATATGGTAGCATTGCAAAGTTCAGCTTGTCTGTGCCTCCTCTCCTCTGAGAGATAAGGTCTCTGGCAGAGTGGCTGCAAAGCAGGCCAGGGAGAGGGTATAGGGTAGAAATGGTGGGGAACGTGCCAGGTTAGCTGCTGAAATCCTTAGGTACCTTCTGCCTTCACAGATTAGTCCCCTATTTGCTCCTTGTCTCCCTATGGTCCCAAGCTCTCCCTTTAAGCAAAGCAGCAGGTAGCAATTCTGTGAGTTTAAGCTTGTGGTGTTTCCTGCTGAATTTTTACTGTGGTGCATTAGCTAATTAATATTTAATACCCTTCCCTCTCCTCCCTCCATGGTCCTAAAATTTTAAATTTTGGTCAGTTATAGTTATTATTTATACTATGTAGTTCTTCATCTCCTTTTATTGTTACTCTAAAACTCTCACCTACTCCAGTATAGTATGACAGGCCTGATTGACGGCATAAAAATGAATTATGTCAGGAGACCAATACATTTTACTTATAATTCATAGTGAAAGCTGCACATGTAAGTGACCCACTTCTCTGAGGTCTAAAATGGCATGCTAAGGTCAACATGAAAATCAATTATGGGCATGGCTGGAAAGATTACCATTTTGACCATGAAAAGCACATGTGCATGGCTCAATGTCTGTAATGTGTGTCAGATCAGATCAGGAAAACAGTCACCATTCCCTCCACTCACAGGCACTATTATAAATGAATGAACAGACACACAGAGGAAAGACATGCCTTTACTTATACCACCTGAAGTATTTACTATGTTTCATCATTCATGTTCATTTGTTTCTGCACTTTTTTTTCAGTCATAGTATTTAGTCACTGCATGCTATCACTGAATATGATGCTAACAGAACAAGATGCTGATAGAAAGCAGGGTAGATTTGCACCTTTTAGCCTAACCAAGTGTGTATAAATGTGTGTGTGTGTGTACCTGCATACATACATATACATATATACACATTTACTTTATATACATCTACTCTGGTTAGTCGATAAGGTACAAATCTACTTTACCTTCTACTTGACTCCAGACAACAGCTAACTACATCACCCTATATGATGCCGATACCAGATTGCTCTGTAGGGATCATATAGTGATATCTACTACTGTCAGACCAGCATGACTGGGTCTTTCAATCCCCTGACAAAAAATACTTATATTTTTTCTTCCATTAACAAAAGAAGGTTTAACTTGAGGTTAAATCATGAGGTTCTTGTTTGCACCTGGATATTTAATTTGTGTGGCAGTGGGGAAATCCCTGACTTTATTTTACTCTTGAGGAAGTTCTATATATCTATATATCATGATGAAAGGCTGTGTAAATGATGGGGAAAAATGAAGGGATAATTGCAGGTTACTCTTGCTATTAAAGTATCTTCAAATATTCAGGGTTTGAGCCTGTCCCCACTGAAATCAATGGCAGTAGCATCTGTCCCATATAGCATGGTCCCTGGTTCCTGTCTTTGAGGCAAACCACATGTCATAATGGTAAACTTTCCAATCCAGCCATGGGCCTAGTTGAAGTAAAGACCCAGGTCAGTGAGTGAGATAATGCAATACACCTAAGAAAGGGATCAGAGAACCCAGGTAGTTCATTAAAAAACATGATTGTTCAAGTCAAATGAAAAGTCATTTAACTCCACAGCATGAAACTATCTGGCAAACTGGCCTATAACAATGCATTAACATTATGCACAAGTAAACCACATTTTCACAGTACTTCCCTGCATTTTGCCTGATTAATGAACATTTTTGAATGATGCATCTGACTGTAAGTATGTCTGAGTCATGCCATTCCTCAGTGCAATTTGCATCACATGGAACATTTGTTGTAGATGGGATGCGTTTAACCTTGGTATCAGTAATTACTAAATCTGCTTTATGCTGTGGTTTCTAAATATGGAACAGGAATGGAGAGGAACAGGAAGAAAAATTACTGAATGTTAAAGTAATGAAAGGAGAAAAGAAGCATGTATTTTTTAGGAACTATGCCCCTTTGGAAATCCAGTTAAAATTAATGGGGGTTGCACTGAGATCCTGGGTTTAATTCCCACTTAGGAGAGATTGGAAAAGAGGCTGGTGATAGGAAAACAATAAAAAAGGAAGCTGAAAAAAATGGAAAAGATAACTGGAAACCGGCTGTGTCACGGAAGCAGTGATGAGAGAGATACCATTATAAATAAAATGGGATATAGCATCCATCAGGCTCTCAGCTGGTTTCATTTTACAGTCAGCACTGAAGAGAGGCTCATCCCTCTGTGATGCTGTTTGACCTGCATGCATATCTCCAAGGATAATTTCTTGGGGGCAGTTCCAACCTACATGCAAAGCTCATAGCTCTCATTGTTGCCTCCTACCACTGCTTCCTCCCAGCTATTGGCTGAATCCACCTGTTATATTCTGCCACCTACTTTGTAAGGTATTTGTGTCAGGGATTGCCAATACATTAGAGATATATTCTAAAGGAGCTGCAAATGCTGCAAAAAATATTTAAGAGCAACAAGATGTCTCTCTCACAGTTGGATTTTTCTTTTTAAAAAGTTAATTCTCCATGGAAATAAAAGGCCCCATGCTGATTTTAATTACAGGAACGAAAAGTCAAAGTCAACAACCTCAAATTAATTGCACAAAATAGGGCTCAAACACTGGAAACAAAGTTATCTTGCCCCCATCCCAAAGGTGAAATGAAAAAAAAAGTACTTTCCTACTTACATAATGACACTTTCAGAACTCAATCCCATGAAGGAATTCCTTTCAATTTTATGAATATTTATATTATCTTGAATATCACTGAAAAAGAAAGCACAATAAAAATTAAAGGTTTTGTTGGGCCTTTGATACTTTCCTCCTTTGCTGTAGAAACAATGCTGCAAACCCAAATTTTTAAAGGGTATCTGCATTAGCTCTCAGGAGCTCTTTTACATGTAGGTTTCCTGAGAGAGAACATTTTACATTCTTAAGACAATTTGCTTGCAAGGTGCTAGCACTGCTGATGAATGAAATTGCAGCAGTCATTTCCATACATTGCTCTCATGCATTTGTCCTGAGCAGGATCAAACAAAAAATATGTCTTAAAGGACAGGATACTACAGTCTTAACCATTTGAATGACACTTCCCAATAGAATATCTAAGTAAGAATCATAGGAACGTAGGGCTGGACTGAACCTCACAAGGTCATCTAGTCTAGCCCCTGCTCATGGCTAAACCATCCTAGCCAAATGACCATCTAACCTGCTTTTGAACGTTTCCAAGCACGGAGATTCCACAACTTCTCTAGGTAACCTGTTCCAGTGCCTGACCACTCTCATAAAGTTTCCACTAATCTCTGGCCTAAATTGGCCCTCCTGAAGCTTGAGGCCATTGCCATTGCCACAGAGAAAAGCCCATCTCTAGCCTCTCTGAAATGGCTGTTCAGGTATTTGAAGACTGTTATGAAATTCTGCCCCCTCAGTCTTCTCTTTTTCTGACTAAATAGGCCTTGTTCTTTCAGCCTTTCCTCATCTATCTTGCCTCCAAAGCCCCTCCTGGTTTGTTTGTTTTCTTGTCCTGTAACAGAGCCTTTCCAAACTGGCCACATCTTTCTTGAAGTGTGGGGCCCAAAACTGGACACAGAACTCCAGGTAAGGCCTCACCAGTGCCATATAAAGTGGAAGAATCACTTCCCTTGATTTGCAAGTGACACTTCTGTTAATAAAACCCAGGATGCTGTTGGCTTTTTTTTGCAACAAGAGCAACAGGAGCACACTGTCGATTCATATTCAGCTTATGGTCTACTATAAACCCCTGGTTCTTCTCTGCAGTACTGCAACCAAGGCAGTCACTCCCCAGCCTGTATTTGTGCATTTGGTTATTCCATTCCATGCGCAGGACTTTGTACTTGTCTTTGTTGAATCTCATCTTGTTGATTGTGGACCAGTTTTCTAGCCTATCGAGGTCATTCTGGTTCCTAGCCCTGCCCTCCAAAGTGTCTTCAATTCCATCCAACTTGGCATCATCCATAGACACCTGGGGAACCCCACATGACACCTTCTCCCAACTAGACATGGAGCCACTGAGGACGACTTACTGAGTCTGATGATCCAATTAGTTACATATCCAACTTGCAGTACTTTCATCTTGTCTAAATTTCCTTAGCTTGTTAATGAGAATGGGAGAGACAATTCCAAACCTTTGCTAAAGTCAAGGTATATCATATCCACCATTTTCCCCACATTCACAGAGCTTGCCACTTCATCATAGAGGAAATCAGGTTGTTAAGAATGACTTGCTGTTGGTGAATCCATGCTGGCTGTTCTTGATCATCTTGTTCTCCCCTAGGTGCTTCACAATGGTTTCCTTGAGGACCTGCTCCATGATCTTCCCAGGTATAGAGGTCAGACTAACTGGTTTCTAGTTCTTTGGATGCACTTTCTAATGCTGAGTGCTATATCGGCTCTTTTCCAGCCATCTGGGACTCCATGAGTTCTCACAATGGGTAGCCAATGGCTCTGAAATGATCTCAGCTGGTTCCTCCAGTCCCTTCAGATGCACCCCATCTGGCCCTGGTGACTAAAAGCATCTAAGTAATCTGCAGCAGGGAGTTGCAAGACTGGTTTACGAACTAATGCAGAGCTTTAGGGCTCTTTTTTGGTCATGATTCAGCAAGGTACTTAAGTACATGTAATTTCCTCCCACTAACATCAATGGGATTCCTCAGATGCTTATAGTCTGGCATGTGCTTGACTACTTTTCTGAACTGGGTCCTCTGAGAGTCTACTTAATTGACAAATAATGATTTCAGCTAGTTTCATAACAGTAGCTTTTTGATTGATACATAACAAAGAGTTGTTAATAAATATTTCTGTTGCTTGCTCAAAATATGTACTACTCCATGAAGTTAAACAGTATTACTCCTAATTTAGATGGACAGGATGGATGCTTTCATGCTGCTTCTGGTGGAAAGTAGCTAATAAAATGAACTGTGTGAAAAGCTTGGAATTAAATGCGAGTCCCAAACTGTCTCATATTGTGAAAGCTAAATATGACTACAATACTGCATTAACTGACTGACAAAGAAGTGCCTCAAATATAGTCCTCATGGAAATCAACAGAAGTTTTTCATATGGACATATAGAAGCATTTTTATAGAGTGAAATATATCTCTGTGCAAAAGGTCAGCACAAGGCCTTTATTTATATTAATACACCAATAAGTTCCCACTTACAGAGTGAAATCCTGGCCCAGTGAATATCATTCAAAGTTTAGCTACTGATTTTAATGGAGACAGGTTTTCAACCAAGTTCTATTTTGGGACTTAATTATTGCATAGACCTTGTACTGGCCTTCTGTAAAGGGAGGAATTTCACCTCAGGAGAATAATGTTGCTTCACTAAGCTAGAGCAATCCAGTATACCTACGTCTGAGGATAATAAGGTTATGTAGGAAAAAGGTCTCATGGTTCCACATGTACTGAATCTGCTGTTCAAATTCGTAAAGCACTACAGCACATTTCCAGAAAGTCCATACTAGACAAAACATACTACATTTGTGTGTATGGACATGTTACTGTGTATATGTTTGAGTAAAAGTGCCAGAGGAAGGTGTTAGATTAATGGTCCTGAAGATTAAAATCTTTTCATCAAAATTTAAATCTAAACAAAAGCAGTGGAAGCTTCCCCAACCCTCTGTACTTCAAACTTGGGATGATAGGATCATAGGAAAGTAGGGCTAGAAGGGACCTCAAAATGTCATCTAGTCCAGCCCCCTACTCAAGGCAGGACCATCCCAGCCTCTGTCTAACCTCTTCTTGAAAACTTCCAAGAATGGAGATTCCACAGTTTCTTTAGATATCCTATCCAATGATTCTTAACCACCCTCATAATTAGAAAATTCCAATTTCCAACTTAAATTTCCCTTGCTGCAGCTTAAGGCCCAGTGCATTGCCCTTCAGGTATTTGAAGACTGTTATCAAAAGCCCCTCAGTCTTGTCTTCTCCTGACTAAATAACCCTAGTTCTTTCAGTCTTTCCTCATCAGTCTTGCCTCCAAGGCCCCTAATCATTTTTGTTGCTCTGCACTGGACTCTTTACAAACTGTTCACAGACTTCTTGGAGTATGGGGCCCAAAAATGGGCACACAACTCCAGATGAGGCCCACCAGTGCTGGATATAGTGGAAGAATCACTTCCCATGGTTTGCAGGGGACACTCCTGTTAATGCAGTCCACTATGCTGTTGGCTTTTTTTTCAACAAGAGCACATTATTGGCTCATATTCAGCTTATGGCCTATTGTAACTGTAGTACTGAAGCCTAGCCAGCCATTCTGTATTTGTGCATGAAATTATTCTGTCACAAATGCAGAGCATCATATTTTTCTTTGTTGAATTTTATGTGGCTGATTGTAGACCATTTCAGGTCATTCTGGATCCTTGCCCTACCGCCTGGAGTAGCTGCAACTCCACCCAACTTATTGTCATCTAGACATTTGCCAAGCATGTACTCAATGCCATCATCCAAATCATTAATGAAGATGTTAAACAATACTGGCTCCAGGACAGATCCCTGGGGAACCCCATTTGATACTTCCTCCAAACTAGACATTGAGCCATTGAGGACTATTCGCTGAGTATGTTTATCCAACCAGTTACATATCTAGTCAAGATATATCATATCATATCATATATCATATCCACTTCTCTTCCTACATGTACAGAGCCTGTCACCTTAACAAAGAAGAAAATCAGGTTGGTCAGACATGACTTGCTCTTCTTGAATCTATGCCAGCTGTTCCTGACCACCTTGTTCTCCCTTAGGTGTTTCAAAATGGATTTCTTGAGGACCTACTCCATGATCTTTTCAGGTATTGAGGTTAGGCTGATCAGTCTGTAGGTCTCTGGATCCTTCTTCTTTCCTTTGTTAAAGATGGGCACATTTTTGCTCTTTCCTAGTCATCTGGGACTCCACCTGAGCATCAGGAGTTCTCAAAGAAGATAGACAGTGGCTCCATAGTTACCTCAATCAGTTCCTTCAGTACCTCAGGGTGCATCCCATCTGGCCATGCTGACTTGAAAGTATCTAGCTTCTAAGAAATTCCTAGTCTGTTATTCTACTACTCTAGGCTATTTGTGAAGATCAAAGCAAAGGAGGTGTTAACTATTTCAGCCTTCTCTGCATCGTTCGTAACTAGACTGTCTTTTGCATTCCTTAATGGACCTATGGTTTCCCTAGTCTTCCTTTTACTTCAACATATTTGTAGAATCATTTTTTAATGTCTTTTATGTCCCAAGCCAGCTACTTCTCAAATTGTGCCTCGGTCTTCCAAATTTTCTCCCTGCTTGGCTGTGCAATACTTGTACACTTTTCCCTAGTACTATGACTAAGTTTCGTCTTTTTGCAAGATTTGTTTTTTTGAGTTTCATTTCATTGGTGAGATTGCTGTCTAGCCAGGCTGGTCTTCTTTTTCACTTTCCATTCTTCCATTGCTTCAAGATAGGTTACTCCTGTGCTCTCAAGTGGGCTTTGTTAGAGTACAGTCAGCTCTCCTGGGGCACATCTAGACATGCAATTAATGCAAAGCAATAAGCATTTGCACATGTGCCTGGGAGTGCAGCATGTTGAGCTAGGTTGGAGCAGCCCTGGCTGGCAGAGGATCCTGGGGGTCAGCCTGCCAGTCTGGGGCTACTTCCCCTAGCTCAAATGTGCTGCAGAGGGGCTGGCTAGGACACAAGGCAGCCAGCAGGTAGCCCTCTCACTGAAGCACCCCATGCCACAGCCAGGCAGGGCATTATCTACACATGCATGGTTGCAAAGTTTTTTACTCTGCAGCAGGCTAGTACTTGTTTTTATAAGTACTAGCCTGCTGTGGAGTAAATTAGTTTACTGTAGCCTAATAGAGACATATGTGTAGACTCTGAGACATTTACTGCACAGCTAATTAATCTACTGTGTGGTAAACATTTAGTTTAGACATGCCCCTGGACTCCTTTTTCCCTGAGATTTTCCTGCCACCAGTTCCTTGGGTTTGTTAAAATCTGCTTTTCTGAAACCCAGTGTCCTTATTCTGCTGCTTTTGATCATCTCTAAGAATGAACCAAGAATTCCTTGGATTCCTTTTTTTTTTGTGAGTGCTGGTTGAAAATGTTTAATCAAATTTGTTTTTAAATAAAAAAAGATTTTTGACTACAAATTCTTTCCATTGAAAATTTTAACAAAATAGTTTTTTCCTATTGTAACTGAAATTTTCTATAGGAATAATAAATACTACCCTCTACTCCAGTGCTATATTTTGCTGCCAAAAGAGAAGTGTATTGTGTGTGTATAGGGAGGAGAGAGGGGAGTGTTTGGTGAGGTAGCCATCAGTCCACTCAAAGCTGGACTGACAGCTGACATTAGGAAGTCACTGCACACAAACCAAACAACTGTCACCAGATGGCAACAAATTTCTGTGTCCACCAGCCTGATTTGAATTTAAATTGGTGACCTAGAAGGAAAAGACTATTATCAGACCCCTTAAGCCATCTAGTCATGCAGTTAAAAACAAAATTAAAGGAAAAAATTATCTGTAAAGTACCTCATATATAATTTTGTATAGAGACAATGCAGAGAACACTAAAATAATTTAAGACAAATTGTTATCAATGTCCACAAGATTACAATCTATGATACATTGGCAAAGTTAATTATAAAGTACTAGAGAAAACATCTTCAAGATCTTGTTAGAGCAGCAAAATATTCATATAGAGTAAAAGGAAGCTTAAAAAGTGGCCAATAAAAACTTACAGTAAAACTTTCTGGAAAGATTGTACTTTATGGACAGCAGGCAAAGACTTAATACCAGTGTTCAATATTAACCTAAGGAGAGAGAAAAAAATGGAGGTTATTAACTATGGTTCAGGGGTGAAACAAAAACTGAGAAAGAAAAAGAAATGCTGGAAAAAAACTGGCAAATACTTAGGGTAAAGTGAGCCCTCTGTTATAAGGGTAGGCATACTGTGGAAACCACACTTAAGTTACATAGCAAGGGAGTTTCACAAGTGCTCAGTGCTAACCTAATTTTGCTCCTACTGGTATCAACTGTGATACTCCTATTGACATCAATGAGAGATGAGTAAGGCCAATGCTGAGTACTTTCTGCAATCATACCCTAAGTGCATACATTGGATATTATGGCACTGGCTCTCAGCACCGTGATGAATTTCAGTCTCAGTTTGTAAAGTCTCACAAATTCATTCTGCTGAAATATCAGTTCATCAAAGTGCTTTGGCTCAGCAACTGAAGAACCCAGAGCAGGGATAGATTTAGACTTTGGAAAATAAAATGAAAGGAAGAAAGTCATATACAGAGATATGGAGCTCAGGCTCCAGGGGAGAAAGGATCCCACTTACAAATTTATACTTTCCACTGATTTAATAACAATATGAACTACCAGGCACAAACTTGTTAAACTACCTGTCCTTTGGGTGGAAGGAAAGTTCGGTGATAGTATTTGTTTCTCCAGTTACTGTGACATAGAACAATATATTAAAAAAAATTATATGTTAAGTACCTCAATATTTGTTTCTATTTTAGTAAATGACGAATCCTCATTTCCATTGGAAAACAAAAGTACAGCCCACCTTTCCTCCAAAATACACCCAGGATGTTTTTTCCAGGTGCCTTGAATATTAATGATCTAAATGTATATTATCAGTGTAACAAAGAGATGGGATTGAACTTTACATTTGGAGCTGGAAATGAATCCAAACTTCTACCGTGCTTGCATCTGGGCTTGTAGTTGAGACCTACTTGGAATATTGCAGAATGTGATACGAGAAGTTATTCCTAGGGCTCTGCAAAATGGCAGTGTTCCATTTCGACGCATCAACAGCACAGCATTCTGTTTCAAATTTTGCTTCGATTCGAAACTGCTGGTCCGTTCTGTTTCTTCGCAACAGCTTCGCCGTTTCGCTGTTTCGCCGCTGTTTTGCCGTTCTCCCATAGGCTATAATGGGGAAGGTTAAAACAGCTTATAACTTTGTCATTTCTGATCTGATTTGGATGAGAATCTTGCAGGAATGGTAGCACCTTCTGAAGGCATGAAGTCTGCCAAGTTTCAAGGAGATGGATGCAGAAGGTTCAGGGAAACTGCACCCCAAAGTTTTGAAAGCAAAATTCATGTCCTGTGTATGTGTTAAGCCACAGCAGGGTCAAAATTGCAGGCATGCTAGCCCCTGCTGCGGCCACAAAGCCTGCCAGATTTCATGGAGATAGGTTCAGGGGTTTGGGGGAAACTGTACCTCAAGCTGTGGACAAGCAAAACTTGTGACATGGGTGATACTGCGTGTGTTAAGGTGCGGCAGGTTGAAAGCTGCAGGCCTGCTAGCCCCTGCTGAGGCCATGAAGCCTGCCAGCTTTCAAGGAGCTAGGTGCAGGGGGAGTCTGGGTTCTGGGGCCCTGCACCTCTAGCTGCTGACAGGCAAAACTCATGACATGGGTGCTTGTGCCATGGCAAGCAAAACTCTTCTCCCTTATCCCCTGCTCACCATACTCAGCAAAATACACCCACACTCCTGCTTTACCCAACGCTCTAAAATAGCTTGCTACATCTGTGTTTCTAAATAACGAATCATAACATGCAAATAATGTATTAAGTTCTTAAAAGTTCTGTTCATTATTTCATGGACAAATAGTATTCTAATAAGACAGTCAAAGATTCTGAAAAATGCAGAGTGGTCCTAATTTTAGATTCTATACAGATTTTGAATATTTGTAATAAATTATTGTTTCACTGCTTGTCCAATATATATTAATCAACTTTACTGTACTTTCCCCCTTACATCTGAGATCATATTCTCTTAGTCCACGCTTGTCCCATCTTCTCCTGCTCCCTGAGACAATAAGGGGCAGACTGAAGCCAAATGACTTTTTTGCTTCTTCTTATCACCTATCTGTGAAAGTTAACAGCAGCTTCACTTCTTGCATTATATATCTACATTTATAAGCTTGAAAATATTACTAGTTACACTGTAGTACCTACAAAGTGATGGGTTTGTACTCTGTACATATTATCATTGACGAATAGTTGTAGGAATTAGTACAGTTTTACTAGGTTTCTGCTACAGATAAATTTTTACTCTGCTTTTTGGTTTTGCTTACTACCAGGCTTCCACTCTGGTGATTCTCAAGGTTTGAATAATACCCCTCAAGGCAGAAATTATTAAGGTTTGAATAATACCCCTCATGTGAGGCATCTGCTCTGTTCAGTGATATCAGTTTTACTGTGGGGAATTTGTCCAGGTTTTATGGACAAATGTAAGTAAGCACTCTTTCCCCCCCTCCCTCTCCTTACTTTAGTTTCTTTTTCCCTGCAGGCACTGAATGCAATTGAAGGCATTGAAGGCAAGCCCAGCTTCAGCTTCAAAAGTCGAAATGTTTAAAAAATTTTGAAATGTTTTGATTTACCTCTTTCTGTTTTGAGGCTGTTTCGACAATATCTGTTTTGTTTTGATTTTGCTGTTTCAGTCTTGAAACGAATTGAAACAGCATCAAAACAAAACAAAACAAAACAAATTTTGCACAACCTTAGTAATTACCCATGGTAGTCTGAAGTCAGGCAGAAGGCAGGGTAGATTTGTATCTTACTAAATCATATATATATGATGAAGTGAGATCACCAAAGCTTATGATATATAGATTTCATAGGTTTCATAGACATTAGGGCTGGAAGGGACCTCAGAAACTCATCGAGTCCAGCCCCCCACCCAAAGGGCAGGAAGTCAGCTGGGGTCATAGGATCCCAGCAAGATAAGTATCCAATTTATGCTTGAAGGTGTTCAATGTAGGTGCTTGAACCGCCTCCAATGGCAGGCTGTCCCAGACCTTGGGGGCTCGGACAGTAAAGAAATTCTTCCTTATGTCCAGCCTGAAATGGTCTTGTAGTAGTTAATGACTGTTTGACTTCGTCATCCCTTGGGGTGCTCTGGTGAACAAACGTTCCCCCAGGTACTGGTGGTCACCCCTGATAAACTTATAGGTGGCCATCAGATCACCCCTGAGCCTGTGTTTTTCCAGGCAAAAGAGCCCCATGGCTCTCAGCCTGTCATCGTAAGGTCTGCTTTCCTGACCTCTGATCATGTGCGTGGCTCTTCTCTGGACTCTCTCAAGCTTCTCCACGTCCTTTTTGAATTGTGGAGCCCAAAACTGGATGCAGTACTCTAGCTGTGGCCTCACCAAGGCCAAGTACAAGGGGAGAATGAGGTCCCAGG